CTGTTTCAAGGTGAGGGGAAAAAGGAAAAATAGTGTATTGCACAAGGACAGCCTGTTGCCGTACCAAGAATTGGATCGACCAGTAAGAAGGCCACAGGATGCAAAATGGGAGCTTTTTTTCAGCTTAGCAAAGAATTAGAACAGACCTGCTGAGCTGGCTTTCCCTCTGTACAGCAGAGCTCTTCCAGTCAGTATATTACTTCTAAAGCACTTGCTCTTCTGTAATCCAGCAAATTTTCCTTCACTGTCTTCCTCATTTGTGACTGTCCCCAAATCAATGAGCTCACTCCCCTGTACCAAAGGTATGGAAAAGAATGTAGTCCAGCATCTTCATGCTTTGGTTTGCTCTCAGGGTTGCTGTATTACTTCCCTTGAGAATGCAAGATATGTGAAAGCAGCACTAGAGTGCATCACCACTTGATGGCACCAAACAAATTTGAAAGACCATTTAAAATAAATAAATAAAGAAGGGAAGCAACTCAGCTTTTCTGCAGTGTGGGAGGGCACCAACAGAGTAAGTCATGCTTGCAGTGTAGTAGAGCACTCCACAAAGCACTCTCAGAATCTGATGAACTTTTCCATTGTTCAGTTTCTTTAACACAGCATGAGTACTTCAGCACTGTTGTAAATAATGAGCAATAGAGCCTTGTGCAGGAGGTTAGTACACTGAAAATGTATTCTTAGCCCAGTGTGCTGGCCAGTTTGTGAGCAAGAGAGAGTGTGCACTTCCTTGGCTAATAATGTTCTGGTTGCCTTGTACTGACGCTGTACACTCACTGTAACTTTTCCAAGTTATAATAATTTTGAAAGTACAAAGGAATGGTTTAATGAAAATGAGGTTTCTGGACTGCATAATTTGAAAAATTTTCAAAAATAAGGGGAATTCTAGTACCATTGCACTGTGTGCTCTTAGATTTACCATGACCTTGATATTTCAGGAACTCCTTGTCTTACAGATATTCCTCTTCTTGCTCCCTGTGGGGACAGATCTCCTTATTCAGTGATTGGAAGGATGACCATATTGGTTCTTTAGCCATTAAAATTAAAGTCTACCAACAGGGATCTTCCCTAATACTGTTATGGATGCTTCTCCTTGTAGTTTCCGAATGCGTTAAAAGAATCTTGTGCTTCTTAGTTTTTTTATTAGTTCTCAGAAAAATGAGTTTCAGCAGCAGACATCTGCTAGATAACCTCCTGGTCTTTCCATTAAACACACAGCAATAGCTATAGGCTTCCTTTATTTAATTCACTCTGAATCCTCTGATTTCTGTAGTTTGGCTTCATTCTGTCTTTTAATCTGGCCCTGAACATAGTGCCTTGCTTAATTATATCCTGTTTTGTGGAGAAAGAGGAGGAGGAAGATGTTAATGCTTGTCAAAATGACCAGCAATCTCCTCTTCTTCCTGGTTCCCTTTCAAATAAAGATGTCTGCCACAACATTTGGTTAGTACTGTAAAAACACATACTCTGTTGGCTTCCTTCTCAGCTAGTGGAATAGAGACAGAGCTCATCCCAGCATTATATGGATCAGAAACAATGAAAAATTGCAGCATACCTGTTTCCTTTTCACTTCCAGTTCTCCTGTTACCACATCATGGATTAATAGAAGTATGTAGTATTGAGGGATCATGTACTTGCATATATATTGCATTCTTGTTGATATGGAGACAGAAATATTTTTGCACCAGTCCCCTCTCTTAATTCCCAGGCAACTGTTTTGTAATTAATTATTAGAATTAACTGGAAAATTCTTTGGCTAAGAAGTGCTTGGTTTTTATTTGCGTACCACTTAGTGCAGTTGAGACCTGGTCCAAGCGTAAAGATCTTGGTAGTAACAAGCAGTAGTTATAAAAGAGCTTTTTGTAAAATCATAGAATTATTGTGATTGGAAAAGACCTTTCAGACCATAAAATCCAACCATAAACTTAACACTGCCAAGTCAACTACTAAACCATGGCCCTAAGCACCACATCTACACCTCTTTTAAGTACCTCCAAGGATGGTGACTCAACCACTTCCCCAGGCAGCCTGTTCCAATGCTTGACAGCCCCTTTTGGTGAAGAAAGTTTTCCTAATGTCCAAACTAAACCTCCCCTGGCAAAACCTAAGGCTGTTTCCTCTTGTCCTGTCACTTGTTACTTGGGAGAAGAGACCAACACCCACCTTGCTACAACCTCCTTTCAGGGAGTTACAGAGAGCAAGAAGGTCTCCCCTCAGCCTCCTTTTTTTCAGGCTAAACAGTCTCAGTTCCCTCAGCTGCTCCTCATGAGACTTGTGCTCCAGGCTTTTCACTGGACATGGTCCAGCACCTCAATGTCCTTCTTGTACTGACAGGCCCAAAACCGAACACAGAACTTGAGATGCAGCCTCACCAGTGCCAAGTACAGGGGGATGATCACTTCCCTAGTCCTGCTGGCCAAACTATTGCTGGTACAAGTCAGGATGCTCTTGGTCTTCTTGGCCACCTGAGCACACTGCTGGCTCATATTCAGACAGCTGTTGATGAACACTTCCAGGTCCTTTTCTGCCAGGCAGCTTTCCAGCCACTCCTCCCCAAGCCTGTAGCGTTGCATGGGGTTGTTGTGGCACAAATGTAGGACCCAGCACTTGACCTTGTTGCGCCTCATAGATTTGGCCTCAGCCCATTGATCCAGCCTGTCCAGGTCCCCCTGTAGAGCCTTCCTATCCTCAAGCAGATCAACCAGCTTGGTGTTGTCTGCAAACTCACTTAGGGCAGTCTCATCCCCTTGTGCAGGTCATTGATAAAGGTATTAAACAGAACTGGTCCCAGCACTGAGCCCTGGGGAACACCACTTGTGGTGTTTTGTAACATGCCTCTGAATTTTGTGCATATCAGTTCCAGAAACTTGTGTTGATTGAGGATAAGTTTCCTCCTATTTCTAGACCGCATCGCATCCCTCTTAGGCCTTTTGCTGTCCAAGTGCAATTTTACTTTGACACCTAGAAGCATTTCACCGTTACAGTAGGCTGTAACATTCCCAAGTTCTAGAAGGCATCGGAGTGCTCTCTCTTACTGTGGTGTACTCAAGAGAGTAAATACAGCTCTACAAAAAGGTGAATATTCAAACCCATTAAAACCCCTCTTTTTAAAAAAAAAAAAAAGTTTGCCTCACTCCTCTGTTACTGATTAGTAGGAAGGATGCCAAAGACTGTATCAAAAGAAAGGCCTAAGTCTTTGAGAGCATCAGTATCATGTTTTTATAAGACAAGTTTGTTGTTTTCCGCTTGTGAAACAATATTAACCATTTAATGAAGCAACTCTAAAAGATGCTAGCAGCTTTATTGCTGGATGCTGGTGTTGTGCTCTGATCCATCTTAAATGGCTGGTGACACAGTCTGCAGCAATTAGATAATTGTTTCATCAAAATATGATTAAATCCAAATGCCTGTAATTGAAGCTTCCTGTAAGCATTATTGAAACAGGACTTTAATGTAAGCAAATATAAGTTCTTGCTGTGCCCGCTATTTGAATTCTAGAGGGAAGAAAATGGAAAGCAATTAAAGCAACAAAATAGATGTTTGTTACTTAATATTCAAAGCATGCTTTTCTTTTTCTGTTAAATTCTAATTTAACAGGGAGATTTTATGTGCCATTTACAAAACTGTGTATTTAGACTTTGTATAGTTGTTTAGCTCCACTTTTGGCACGGATGTCTTCTGTGTTCTGAAGGCTCTCAAAGCCGCAGTGCTTTTCCAGGCTTAGTCATCTGTGTAGCCCTCAGCTGTGGGATGCAATACACAGAGATTCACTGAGGGGGAAAGAGAGTTGGTGGCCACGTTAACCTGATAAATGTTCTGGAAAGCATGCTCACTCAGATGGAAGAGCCAACCCTGCCTCTAAATGGTGCTGCAGCTTGGCTTGAGGCTGCAAGCATCTGCACACGAGCCCAGCTCTGTCATCAGTGTTTTCTACAGGAAGTGGCAGTCACTTCGGTGGCGGGGACTGAGCCCATTTTTCATGTATACAATTTGAATTGAGAACGACTGCATGCATCTCTTCACACTGGGGTGTGAAATTGAGCCCAGGACCAAGGCAGCAGCTCCTGCCACTGGACTCGTGGGTTTTGAGTCTTTACCAAAGGTAAAACTCAGTATGCTTTTAGGCACTCTTCTCCAAATACAGAGCAAAGAGTATATAGGTCTGAATGAGGATAAAGTAAAAGAGGCTGAACTTAAAAGTATTTAATTTTACAAGTTGGTTGAGCACTGGAGTAGGTTCCCTGGGGAGACTGCTGAAGCCATGGCATGAGGTGTCTCAGAACCGGTTGAAGAAACATCTGTCGGGAAGGAGGCAGCTGGTGCAGGGGGCAGGAGAGGGCTCTCCAGTGGAGTTTCCCCTCGCGTGAGGCATGCCTCACTGACCAAGCATTTCCAAATGCTAATGAAGCATGCAGCTGCCCAGGGATGGCCTGTGCTGAGGCACAATGACTTCTTAAGTGGTTGAAGTGAGGCATGAGTTAGCGAGGTTGGGAGACACCAGATTGCACAGGATCCAAAGATTCAGACCTGGCTATATTCTGATGTAATTCCGTTACTTGCAGATGTCATTAGTCATGGAGCCCTGTTGCTCTTGAGGAGACCAGCAACAATACAATGTTACACACCCAGAAGGACAAGCTTAAGTACTACAGTGCTTCTAGCAATGTCAGTTGGCCTTCATAAATGCACCAAGCTGTTATTTTATGGCATGCAAGCTTTCTGGAAAGTGAGAAGTTTAAAATATTGTGCATTTCTGAAAAAGTCAGATCCCCCTTTCGTACACACTGTTAAACTGTATCAAAGTTTTGTCTCTCTTACTTGAAAGGGCTCGCTAGAGCTTTTTGGGGGGCAATGTTTGACTGCAAAGTCAAATACAGACAGATTTATATTTGAGATCATGAAAGGCAGGGGTTCTGAAACTCACAGTTTGCTGATTACAGGATTTGTTTCTGTGGTAACAGAGAGTTATATTATCACTTGGACTGTTTATCATCCTTTAGGTTTCGGCATAGTCCAAATTGCTGGTACTTGAGAGACTGGACCATCCACAGCTGGATCAGACAGTGCTTAAAATATGATGCACAAGACAAAGCCTTATACACCTTAAAAAACAAGGTAAGTTTTTAGAAGGAAAAGCCATGAATATATTTGATCAGCTTTTTGAGATAAGTGTGGCTTACCTGGAATTCCTATTACAGCCAGGTTCTGTAGACCATGGTTTTAAGTTCAGGTATTTATTTGTCAAAACAAAAAAGAATGTTTCACTTGAATTTTAGCTAAAGCTCTTTACAGCTTTTATTTCCTCTTCTTTCCCAGGAAGCTTTTTGTCTTTAAACAGTGTCGGTGTCCAAAACATGCTAGATGCAGGAGAGGCATAAAAACCTGATAGGCAATGCCCCTCCTGGTCCCAAAGGCTCAGATAAAATGCTGAAACAAATCCAGTACATCAAAAGTTAGAAGGCCTACATCAAAGGAACTGTGCTAGTCTCCTTGTGTTGCTTGACTAACTGTCACATTGTGACAGTGAGCGGTGCCATGGTTCTGATCTCTCTGATACCTGCAGCGCTATGCTAGGGAATATTGGAACAGCAGATTTTCACACCGATTTTTTCTTCTTCTTCTCTTCAGGTTCAGTATGGAATTTTCCCAGATAATTTTACATTCAATATTTTGTTGGATTATTTTGTAACGCAGAAGAAATATGAAGGTAAGAAAATAAGTACTAATTCTGCATCCTTAGTTGTGTGCTCTTAACTTTGAATTAAAAACTTTTAGCAATATTTTCTTGGAAGTCACCTTAAAAACACACTTTGTCTTCCTTTAAATTACTTTTCTGCATGTTTATATCTGAATTCTGTTGGGTTTTTATTCTTTATATAATTTTGAAAGACACACAATTCACAGTTTCTACTGTGATTAATCCCATTCCAAATGTAAACCAACTTTTCCCTTTCTAAGTCTGACTTACATGCTGATGACATTACAGGAGTTATTAGTGACAATTGAGAGTGTTATAAGAATCAAAATGCATGTTGGCAGAGTTAATCTTACCTAAATTTAGCTATTCAAAAAGCTACATATTTAAAGTTTGTCTAGACTTTCTGTCTGTCACTGAAGAGAGCCAGCTACGCTGAATTGACATGTTGAGGTGCTTGTCTTTCACTGTTGACCGTTTAAGTGTTGAGTTGAATAATCGTCTCATGTTTGATGACAAATAATTTAAGATTTTCATGTCACTGCAAGTTTTCTGGTACTGTAGACTTGCAGTGAGCTTTACTTAAGCGTCTTGAAAAACTAATAACTGAAAGGAGCAATAGATTTGCAGGATATACCTATGGCTTTTATCATGAAGGTTTTGCTAAATGGCTAATTAATACCTTTTTTCTTTTTTTGAGAGAAAGCCCCCCTACCTGTCCATTCCCCCTTATTCCATCCATATTTCTTCTCTGTGACAGGCTCAAGTCCTTTTGTTTAGCATCCTTCCTGACAGGGAGTGTCACTGGAATTCCCCATGGAGCTCCTACAGAGCACTGTTTACTGAATACAGTGAGTGCTGTGGGTGATCTCTGACAACATTTCTGCTCCATTGTACTCTCCTGTCACATTAAGGGCAGTGCATTTAAGCCAGTCTTCTCTTGTTTGTAATCTAAACACAAGAACAAAGAATTAGTTTTTAGATTTTTTTTTTTTAAAGTTAATGATTGAAGGGCTGAGCAAAGGAGAGCCAAGTGAAGAGAGTAGAGCTGAGTTTGGAAAGCTCCTTTGCTGTGGTCTGGTGCTATTCAACCCATTTGTTTTTTTCCCAGTGTGTTTGAATAACCCAAGTGAGTAAGACTAATTCTATACTACTAGCAATAAGAAATCCTAAACTTTCTCCCTAAATACTTCAAAACAAGCAATAAAGTATCACTGAACATGAGTGGATGGGAAAGGGATGTGTAAATTTGCACTTGCTGATTATGTATTGTTTTCCACCATAGATGCTCTGTCAGTAGTAACAGAGATCATGCTGCAAGAAAGTTTTGATGAACTCTCAACACAGCTTCTTTCTCTCTATGTTTTATACCATTACCTGACAACCAAGTCTGAACATACGGTAAGCTGACCACACTAAAAATGATACACAAAGCCCTTGTTTCTAAGTGTTGGAGTGTAGTCGGTTGGGCATTCAATCTTGAATATATTTTATTTCCCCAAAGTTTACCTGGAAAAAATAAATACTCCTTTTTTTCATTATTTTTACAACTACAGAAGAAAGAAAGAAAGAAAAAAAGAAACAATAAAATATGAAAGCCATCAAATAACTTGTCACCCCTTTGCTCCTTTCTCTGAAAGAGGAGGTGTGTTGGAATTTTCAGCTGTAGTGTATGCCCATTGGAAGGTTATGAAGTGATATTTCAGTTCAGTTCAAAGAGAGCTCTATCAGTTAACACAAGAAGACCCGTGTCACCTATTTTATATGACTCTGTTAAGGTGAGTATTGCTCACCATTAGAGCTTGGTAATGGTGCTGTTGCAGATTTAAAAAGCATTTTCAGTAGGATTGTTACTATCCTATTTGGCTTTGGGTGTTGTTTCTAGTATGTATTTGTTTTAAAACTAAATTTTTTACATCTCTCCTGTCTCCAAGGATTAGGGGTTTTTTGCATCTCACTTGCTTAAGGCCAACGTGACAGTTCAGGCTCCTGGAAGTGGCATTATTCTACCGTTGCAGAAGGGGCTCAGTTAGGTATCAGGAAAGTACCAGCTCGCAGAGGCTCACCAGAGGCTCTGGTGCCAGGAGGATCCACAGCAGAGTACTCCAGTGTGGTGCACGGTGGGGATTGTGAGCGGGAGGAACCTCAGGGGAAGCAGAGATTGCTGCTGGGAGCCTGCAGCTTGTGTGCAACAGCAGCTGAGGAGACCTGGGTGGGGCCAGCAGAAACAGCGGCCAAGCCCCACACCACATGTAAAAGAAGCCCATAGGGAACACTGGGGCCCTGGGGTGTGGTATGTCAGCTAGGGCGTGGTGTGGCAGTTTGCATGATAATTCAGGCAAAAGGGTGTCCAGGATGGGCACTGAAGCTGTGCCAGCTCAACCAGGGAGCAATGGTGTCCACCCGGCAGAAAGCCACGGCCTCTCTAAGTTCTGCACCCACCGTGATAGATGCAGCTTCCCAGAGAGAGCTCTGGTAGGAGCACGCTGCTGCTCAGGTCCTAGCCTGCAGCATGTGCTTTACCCTTATGCCAGTATCGGACAGCAGTAGTGAGTATAGCTGCAGGAGGTCCACCCAGGTAGAGGACCTCCTCTGCTTAGCAACAGAGCTGCAGAAGAAGATGAGTAGGTTGAGGGGTATCAAGGAGTCTGGGAGAGAGAGAGAGACCACTGGAATTGCACCCTGCCTTCCCTGAGACAGGCTCAGCAGGCAGATAGAACACATGATACGGAGGATTCCCTGTCCTCTCTCCACCTGGCTGAACACTTAAGTGATAGGGGACAATGGCAACAAGTTCCTGCCCAGCACAGCAGGTGCATCTCCTCTGTGACAATCCAACTTCCAAGGTGCCCTTGCATAATAGGTATGAGGCTGGGTAAGTGAAACTGAACAATATGATGGTGGTTCATGTAGCTTGGAGATAATACCAAGGTTAAGTCAGCCCACCATCAAAACTGCTTCCATAAAGAAAAACGACTGGTCATTGTCTTAGAAGATTCTCTTCTGAAGGGAACAGAAGACCCAATATGCAGACTGGACTCACTTAGGGAAGTCTGCTGCCTCCCTGGGGCACAGGTTAAAGATGTGAAGAGAAAACTTCCTACCCTGCTTTGGCCCTCAGATTATTATCCATTATTGACTTTTCGGGTATGTAGCAATGAAATTGCAACAAGAAGTCTGAGAGCAATCAAGGAGACTTCAGGGCCTTGGGACAACTGGTTAAGGAATCAGAAACACAAGTAGTGTTCTCCTCTGTCCTTCCAGTTGCAGGGGATGATGAGGGAAGAAACAGGAAGAGCCAGCACATCAATACCTGGCTCCGAGCCTGCTGTCACCAGCAGAATTTCAGGTTTTTGGATACTGTCTATAATGGAGTTACAGTATTGGTGAATAAAGGAAGAGCAACTGGTGTCATCTACCTGGAGTTGTGCAAGGTGTTTCACACTAGCCTGCAGGACATCCTTGTCTCTAAGTTGGAGAGGCATGGACTAGATGGATGGACCACTCACTGGATAAGGAATTGTCTGGATGGTTGCACTCAGAGTTGCAGTCAATGGCTTGATATCCAAGTGGATACTAGTGACAAGTGGCATACCTCAGGGGTCAGTACTAGACCAACCCTTGAGGGTTTTAACATCTTTGTTGGTGACATGGACAGTGGGCTTGAGTGCACCCTCAATTTGCTGCTGACACGAAGCTGTGCAGTTCGGTCAACATGCTGGAGGGAAGGGATGCCATCCAGAGTGACCTTGACAGGCTTGAGAGGTGGGCCTGTGCTAACCTCATGAAGTTCAACAAGGCCAAGTGCAAGGTCCTGCACTTGGGTTGAGACAACCCCAAGCACAAATACAGGCTGGGCAGAAAATGGATCGAGATGAGCCCTGAGGAGAAGGACTTGGGGGTACTGGTGAATGAGAAGCTCAACATGAGCCTGCAATGCATGCTCACAGCCCAGAAGGCCAACCGTATCCTGGGCTGCATCAAGAGAAGTGTGGCCAGCAGGTTGACGTGATTCTTCCCTTCTACTCCACTCTCATGAGAACCCACCTGGAGTACTGCATGCAGTTCTGGGGCCTCCAGCATAAGAAAGACATAGACCTACTGGAGCAACTCCAGAGGAGGAACACGAGGACCAACATAAGAAAGACATGGACCAGTTAGAACAAGTCCAGAGAAGGGCCACCAGGATGATCCGAGGGCTGGAGCACCTCTCCTATGAGGACAGACTGAGGGAGTTGGGGCTGTTCAGCCTGGAGAAGAGAAGGCTCCGGGGAGACCTTATAGCTGCCTTACAATACCTGATGGGACCTACAGGAAGGCTGGGTAGGGACCTTTTACAAGGGCAGTTAATGACAGAACAAGGGGAAATGGCTCTAAACTGGAAGAGGGGAGGTTTAGATTAGATATTAGGAATAAAGTCTTTACTGTGAGGGTGGTCAGACACTGGAACAGGCTGCCCAGAGAAGCTGTGGATGCCCCCTCCCTGGAAGTGTTTAAGGCCAGGTTGGATGAGGCTTTGAGCAACCTGGTCTAGTGGAAGGTGTCCCTGCTGATGGCAGGGGGATTGGAACTAGATGATCTTTTAAGATCCCTTCCAACCCAAACCCGACTGTGATCCTGCAATTCTATAAAGAGAATCTCCATCCTTTATTGGTTGTGGAAGGAAACAGTGACGAAGGCGGAGGAGAAGGCTGAGGCACTTCATGCCTTCTTTGCCTTAGTCTTTAATAGTAAGACCAGTTGTTCTCGGGGTAACCAACTCCCTGTGCTGGGAAACAGGTATGGGAACAGAATGAAGCTCCTATAATCCAAGAGGAAACTGCTGGCAACCTCCTATGCTGCTTAGACCCACACAAGTCTGTGAGGTCGGATGGGATCCATACAAGGGCAGTGAGGAAGCTGGCAGAAATGCTCAACAAGCCACTTCCCATCATTTACCAGCAACCCTGACTAACCTGGGAGGTCCCAGCTGACTGGAGGTTAGCAAATGTGATGCCCATCTGCAAGGAGGGCCAGAAGGAAGAATTGGGGAAATGCAGGCCTGTCAGTCTGACCATGGTGACGGGGAAGGTTATGGAAAGAGAGCTGTCACATGGCATGTACAGGACTGCCAGATGACAATGTGACCCACTCAGTGGATGTGGGAAAGGCTGTACATGTTGTCTACCTAAACTTTAGTAAAGTCTTTGACACTGTTTCCCACCTCGTTCTCCTGCAGAAACTCTCTCCTCATGGCTTGGTTGGATGTACACTTTGGTGGGTAAAAAATTGGCTGGGTGGCCAGGCCCAAAGAATTGTGGTGAATGGTTAAATCTAGTTGGCAGCCAGTCACAACTGGCGTTCCCCAAGGCTCAGTGTTAGGGCCAGCTCTGTTTAATATCTTTATCAGTGATCTGCACAATGGCATCAAGCACACCCTCAGTGAATTTGCAGACAACACCAAGCTGGGTGGGAGTATTAATCTGCTTGAGGGTCAGAAGGCTCTAAGGAGGGATCTGGACAGGCTGGATCGATGGGCCGAGGCCAATTGTATGAGATTCAACAAGGCCAAGTGCTGAGTCCTTGGGTTGTGACTTGGATCACAACAAGCCTATGCAACATTCCAGGCTTGGAGAAGAGTG